TATCAGAGACTCTTAGATGGGGCCTCACTTGGGTCATATTCTTCTTTTCTCAAAATCTCTTGGAATCCTAACTCTGTTCATTGACATCTGCTAGAAGGCGGATCCCCCTTTATTGCTGTGCTCTTGTTTATTGTTTTGTGACATTTGTTATCAGGCTAAATCTAACCTCTAGGCCATCATGGAAGTTGTTGATAAAGATGTGGGCATGGAAGCTAGAGCTCAGAGCCTGGTGGCTTCCTCCTTCAGGTCACCAACCCATCAATTTTTCCACCCCGTCCCTGGTCTTCATAGGATCCCAGTTTTATAGAAGGGCTTCAGACCCTGCCTCCTATTCCAGTGTCTCCTCTAGGAGCTCGTCCTGTCCAGGGGAAGATGGCCTGTGTACTGGGCATTTGTGAGCAGCATCTAGCATTGATTTCTCCTGCCATCAGCACCCAAACTCTACCCCTGTGTTCTTAGCTGTGGCTTCCTGAAATGTTTAAAAAGACTTTATGGAAGATTCTGGAATAATGGAAGGGATAGCAACATGGAGCATCACCAACAGTTACCTTACAGAAGAGAAAGATCAAGCAGATACAAGCAGTAGACTCATGAGAGGGAACCAGAGGACCACTGGAAGGCTGTGCTCAGAGCTCCTAGGGGTGGCTAGAAGGGGTATTTCCAAAAGGGGCCCTTGAGCATGTCTCCTGTGTTGTTCAAGAAAAAGTGGGTGTCCCAACCCCAGAACAGAGGGAGCATGGATTTGCCTTTTCTCTGCCTTTTTGTTCTGTCTGGGCCTTCAACTGACTGGATAGTGCCTGCCCAGATTGGGTAAGGGGTTGGTCTTCCTTAGTCCACTAATTCAAATGCCAGTCTCTTTCAGAAACACCCTCATAGATACCAGAAATCATGCTTTACCAGCTATCTGGGCATCCTTAACCCAGTCAAGTTGACACCTAAAAATAACCATGACATCTCATTTTTCTCACCCCCTGGTTGTCCCCAGAGAAAGGGGCAAGAGTCCCTCTGCACAGTCTAATGCCAGGTGAGGTCCTTTTCTCCAGATGATGTACAGCAAAAGGCCTACCATCACATTCATGGCACAAAAACGGGGAGAGGTAGCTTCCTGGAGGGAAGGCTGGGCAGTCCCTTGAGCAGTGGTGGGATGGGTGCTGGTTCCTGTATCTGGGGCCTGGCCAGACTCCCACGTGTCTTGGTTCCTGTAGGGTCACAATGTTCTGAAACTGTGCAATCTTCTGCAAGTCCAGTGGGCTCTCGGGAAGGGCCGGCGGTGCAGAAAGAAAGCATAGTCGTCCCCTCCTTATTCTATATTGCATGCCTACCACTTGCTGCTCTCCAGGTGACTTCTGGGAACAGTCAAAAGATCAGTGAGCCCATCAGGTCTTCATTCACACGGGGCTCAGGGCTGACACAGAACGGGGTGTTAACTAAGCAACCTTCTGTGGTTGCAGAAGGTCCCTGAGTATGGTCTGGAGTTCCGATTAACAGAGGAGAAGATGTGGCAGGCCTGACTTGTTGGCCTCTCTCTTGTTTTTTGGTGGGGAGGGGAGGGCAGGTACTACTTCGCAACTCTTTATTTTCTGTGGGATTTGCGATTCCACCTGGGCCTCCAGCACGCCAGCTACTTTCTGTGCTCTCCACGGAGCTCCTTCCGCAGCCCTTTCCTTTTGTATTTGGAGACAGGGTCTCTGTAAGTTGCCAGGGCTGGTCCTGAACTTGCAGTCCGGCCCAGCCTCCCGAGCCGGGGGGTCACAGTGTGCCCACCGTGCCCGGCGCTCTCCTATGTGTCCCCAGCTTCGGATTTCGCTACAGCCTGAGCTCCAGCTTGGTGGGGGGTACAACCCGAGAACCTCTTTCCTCAAGGGTGGACTCTGCCCACCCTTGAGTCCTCGTCCAATCTTTGGGTGCCTCGGGTCTCGCATACATCTTGGGGGTCCGTAGGGGCTGGTGCGGCCTGTCTGGGAGGGCAACCAGGGCCAGGCAGCGCAGCCGCACCCGGGCCTGACTGCCGCCAGCGTCTGCAGGCCCCGCCCAGAGCGTCGGCACGTGGCTGCGCCCAGTGCAGCGCGTGGGGGGAGGGGATCCACGGGTGAGGCGGGGCTTCAGGYCCGGCGCGCGTCCCAATTGGCTCCCAGGACTGCCTATAAGACTGCACGTCGTCGCGTCGTTGCCTTCGGCTGCCTCGCCGCATTGCTGCTTTGGCGGGAGTTGGTGGAGGGTGTGAGGTGAGGGTAGGGGGGTGTTTCCGGGCTGGGCCACTCAGATCTGGCTCTAGGCCGGGAATTGGGCCTGGCAGCAGCGGGGCGGAGGACTGAGTGGAGCGCAGGCCAGGTGGGGCCTGAGGCGCAGAGGAGCCCCTCAGGGTAATTGTGGCAGCGGGTGGCTCCGGAGGGCTGGTTTCTCCCTCCTTGGCCTGTGGCACCCCAGGACGACCGGGTGTCCTTGGGGCAGCTCAGGGAGCGTCGCCGTGGGTCTGCGAGACCCTGAGTGCCGAGGGGCGCTGGGGCCACGTTGGAGCCTTGCCTCGCGAAATCAGCTCTCGCGGTACTTGGAAGGGCGCGAACGTCCTGGACTCTGCTTTGATCCCGGTCTGCGTTCTCAGATGTGCGCATGATACTTGTGGTGGCGGGCGAGTGGGCTTGGGCTGCTGAGCGGAAGAGACAGTGGCCTCTGGGCTGCCTCCAGCCGAGGCCCAGTGGGGTACATGCTCAGAGATGTCTAATTGAACATTATTTTTACAGCAGCAGCGGCTGGAAACCCTGATTTTTATATAACAAGCTCTCTTGTTTCAAACGTTGGCCCTAATTCATAATGGTTTAGAGCATTACGTAGCTAGAGGAAATAGATATGAGAGAACTGCATTTGCCCCTTGGGATGCAGCTTGCAACCTCTGCTGTAGGTGTCCTGGGGAGGGGGCATAGGGCAGGAGCTGCAGAAGGCTCCAATTTCTTTCTTTTCTTTTTTTTTTTTTTTGTACTAGGGATTGAACCCACAGGCTTTTAACCACTGAATCATGTCCTCAGCTTTTTAAAATTTAAGTTTTGAGACAGGGTCTTGTTAAGTTGCTGAGGCTGGCTTTGAACTTGCGATCCTTCTGCCTCAGCCACCCCAGCCTCTGGAATTACAGGTGTTTTCCCCCATGCCAGACCCAATTTTTTTCCTTAATCTTTTTTTGTGTCAGAGCCTAGCTAGATAGGCTCAGGCTGACCTCAAACTTTGGATCTTCTTGCTTCAGCATCTTGAGTATCTGGGATTATAGGGGTGGGCTCTTGTGCCCAACCCATAGTTCCTATTTGAGACCATGGGTCCTAGAAAGATATATCCCAGAATTGCCCTGGATTGTGTGAGCTGACTTAATTGGCAGATGGAAGTTACCCCTTGCCCTTGTCTTTTACACTGCCCTTTTAGGATTAGCACAGGTGTAGTGTGGTTAGATTTTGAGAATGGGAGTAGTTTGAGGCTGGGGGGATGTAGGTATCCTCCTTGCAAGGAGTCAGGACTTCCCAAAGTGCAGCTTTGGCTTGGAGTCTCACTGTGCCAGCTGTCTGTAAATGGGGCTGTGAGTACAGTTCTGAAATGGAGTGCATTTGAGATGGGTCCCCCAGAACCTGTGCACTGTGGTAAGCATGACCCTGTTGCTTGGCTTTGTTTCTCTAAGTTGTATAACTGGTCAGAGAAGGAGAGAGCTTGAGGAATCCCTGGAGAGGAAGGCACGGTCATCGAGCTCCTCCTTCCTGCAGAGTGATGGGTGGCCGCACCGATGACATAGTTTCAGCCCTTGCCTCAGGACACTAGGAGATGATGATAAGTGAAACATGAGCCTTGGAAGAGGGCTTAACATGGCTCTTTGACCAGCAAGCTTGGACTGGGCAACTCAAGGAGGAAAGGGAGATCTAGAGTATTTCCAAGGCATCATGAACTTAAGCCATGGGAAGAATTCTGTGGGTGGCAGGAAGGGGAGGGCACTCCCACACTGGCATGTTCATAGTATTTTAGGGTGAGGAGTATAGATAATTAGGGGCATAGTGAGAGATCAGGATAGAGGGATTTTTTTTTAAGTTGTAGATGGACATGAAGCCTTTATTTTATTTGTTTTTATCTTTTTTATGTGGTGCCAGGGACTTAACACAGTGCTTGATGCATACCAGGCAAGCACTCTATCCCTGAGCCACTGCTGAGAGCCGAGTCTGTATGGCTCCTGGGCATTTTGCCAACAAGCCACAACCCTGGTCCCAAGGGTAGAGGGAATTTTAGGGTCCAGTTTTTGAGCCAGGAGGGGTTCGGTGCTATGTTATGCAACGTAGACATTTGCTAGTATGAGGGGTCTGTTGTCTACCATTTGATGTCTTCTGTGCCATATGAGACAGGTTTGATTGTGGAAATATCTGTTTCCTACCCAGCTGGATGAGTTTTCCTTGTGAATGGGTCTGTGCACCATTTCTTTGTTCTGAAGTCCACTGCTGTCCGTCATCTAGTAGCCAGTCACATTCCCGTAATGATTGAGTAGATAAAGAGCTGTCTTCTGGCAGAGAGGGGAAGAGCAGGAAAGCAGGACCTGGTGCCCTTGTGGCGATGATTATGTTCCTATTGGCAGTCCCATGCCCTGTCCTGCCAATCCAGTCCTGCACTTTCCCTCTGCACAGTAGCAGTCTCCATCTCCAGTACAGGCCTGGTCAGTTCTAGGTGATGGCAGGGTAGGTGTTGATGGTAAGACAATCAATGCCTCTCATACTGATCTGAGAGGGACCTGATCTGGACACTGGGAGATGTTTAAAGGACAGATGGGTCTTTGAACTGAGCGAACTCTAGCTTCCAGTCTGGTTCCTCCTCACTGCTGCTCTCCTGGATATTGTCTCTCTGTTCTGGGGTGGGACCTTGGAGTCACCCCAGGAGCTCCTGGGTTATGGCTCAGATTCCATATGGTTCTGTCTTCTCACCTTCCTATAGGTCAGGTTCCTGCAGGAAGAAAGGTGGCTGGTTCTCAGATCTTGTAGACCCTCATGACCACCATGTTGAAATCCAGATCCCCAGTCCAGCAGAGGAGCAGCCATAATGGCCAGGAGGTAGTGTGGTCCCTCTCATTCTCATGATACCCTCTGCCCTCCTACTTCCCCTCCTGTGTCCCTAATTCCTAGTGCCTTCCTTCCCCTGCCAAGGATCTTAAGTCCTTTCACCTCTCCCTGTGGCCCTTTTCCAGACCAGCCTGTGGTCCTCAGGTTTTGGGATGAAGCTGGAGGCTGTCACCCCATTTCTAGGGAAGTATCGTCCTTTTGTGGGTCGCTGCTGCCAGACCTGCACCCCCAAGAGCTGGGTAAGTGTTGGTCAGGTTGGACCCCACCCTAGGAAGCTCAGGTTAGCTTGGTTCTGGGAGCTGTGGTCCTGGGAAGCTGCTTTCTTTATGCCTTTCCAAGCATGGCCCTTCTCTGCCCCACACCTCTGCTTTTGTCTTTCAGGGAATGGAGGCACTGGTATTGGGTGTGTTGTTGGGCTATGGTTGGTTCCCAGGCCAGAGGGGCCAAAGGGAATACAGGGTGTGCCTAGAGGTCTGGTTTCTAGCCACATCTGCATGAGTACTGTGGGGAGAACTCAGACTTCCCCAGGCTCAGGCACATGGTTGAAGCCCTCTTGTGCACCCATGCTATGTGCTGGTGCCGAGGGGCCTGCAATTCCAACAAAGATCCAGGGTACATGTCCCTCTGATGTTGATGAGAGAACTTGTCCCAGACATTTTTGGGGGTGGGGGCACTGGGGATTGACCCCAGGGGCACTTGTCCACTGAGTCACATCCCCAGCCCTATTTGTATTTTATCTAGAGACAGGGTCTCACTGAGTTGCTTAGCGCCTTGCTGTTGCTGAGGCTGGCTCTGAACTCATGATCCTCCTGCCTCAGCCTCCCAAGCTGCAGGCATTACAGGTGTGCAGCAGCGCACCCGGCTCTCCCAGACTTTTGATATGCTGCTCTCTAGGACAGCAATTCCATATAGGATACAGCGCTTCTGTTTTGAGCATAGAACCCTTCTTCCTGAGCCAGCATCTGGATCTGGGTCAAATGTCTTCTGGAAGATGCTGTGCTGTAATTCTTTCTCCTGGTAGAATTGAAGGGCCACTTAAAGGGGCTGGGCAGGAACTCCTTGGCCCATGAAAAGGCCCTCTAGTACATACTGTCCCTGCCCCCTTGGGCAGGAGTCCCTCTTCCACAGAAGCATAATGGATTTGGGCTTCTGCAACGTGATCCTAGTGAAGGAGGAGAACACCAGGTCAGAGCTGGGGGTGGCCAGGGTTCTTTTGGTGGAGGGTTGCTGGGTCCTGCTTTGTTATAAAGTGCCATTTTGTTCCTGTGATGGAAAAAGAATGGTCCCTGTCCAGTGCCTCATACCCATAGTAGGGAGAGGCAGGTGAGCACTCTCGCAGCTCCTCTTGGGAGCATGTATGGATTGCCCATTGGGCATCAGGCTTTGAACTTGTGTCCCTCTTGGTGGGGAGAGGGCTGGGACTAAGGTACAGAGAGGTGGTCTGTTCTCCCTGCTTTGCGATAAGCCATGCTCAGTGTCTTGGGAACAAGGGACTGCTTGGTGTGATGGCTTCCTGAGGCATAGCCCCTTGTGGGCCCTGTGGGTGGCCCTCTCTGAATCACTGTCTCCCTTGCTTTGGGGTCTGTGCCCAGGTTTCGAGGCTGGCTGGTTCGCAGGCTCTGCTATTTCCTGTGGTCCCTAGAGCAGCACATCCCCCCCTGCCAGGATGCCTCACAGAAGATCATGGAAAGCAGTGGGTGAGGAGGCAGGGTGGGGGTGGCCTGGCACTTCTGGATCCGTAAAGGGGAGGCTGAGAGGGCTGGTTGAGAGGACTGGCTGGGGCAAGGCTTCTAGAGTGCTGTCTTTTCCTGGGCCTCTTCTCAAGGAGGGAGAGTGAAGCCTGCAGCCAAATCCTGGGGAGGCAGTCTGCTGCCTGCCTCACCCTAGCACCATTGCCCTGCACCCACAGGGTACAGAACCTCCTCTCAGGGAGGGCACCGGGAGGGGCCGGGGAAGGCCAGACGCCAGACCTTGTGGAGAAGGAGGTTCAGCGCATCCTGGGCCATATCCAGGCTCCACCCCGACCCTTCCTACTCAGGTAACTCTGAACTGAAGGGCACTGGTCCCTGGGCTGGGGCTTCTGCCCTTCTGGACAGTGGGCAAGAGCTAGATGATATTTTTCTGAGTGGGCTGCAGCCTACTGTCACCAGGAGCCTCCCTGCCCCACCCTCATGCAGTGCAGTTCTGTGTGCCTGTTGGATGCAGGACACTGGGACTAGAGGGGTGAATACAGACACAACTGTAAGAAGGAAGGAGTGAGATGGAGGAACCAGTCCCCAGGTGTTTCCCCAGCACCATACAACTGCTCAGGGGCAGAGGGAAGGTGGGCAGCAGAGCTGTGCCCAGAGACTCTTTCACAAAGTCATTATTATGATCGGGGTGGAATCTAAGCTGGGCCAAGAGGGAGGTGGCCAGAGTAAAGGTGGTCATGTCTAGGAACTGTCACAGTGCAGGGTTTGTCAAGGTCACTGGTGGTCTCTGCTTTCTGTTCTGGCTCAGTCACCACCACTCTGTTCACTGGAGGGGTGAACAGAGACACAGCTGTAAAAAGGAAGGGGCTGAGACAGACTGCTCAGAGCAGGAGGAGCCTTGTATGGCAGGACAAAAAAGGGGAAAAGGAAGCTGACTATTAGGGTACAGAAGTGAAGTTGGGGGAGACAGTTTTGCTGAGGGAATAGCACTAGCAAGACCCTGACCAGGAAAGGGTTGTGTTGCTCAAGAAGCTGATGTGGTTAGAAGCCAGCAAATAAAGGGGGAGAGCAGCTAGAGATGACTTTGAAAGGCAGAAATAACCAGATCATTCAGGGCCATGGAAGTTCAGGTGGGATCTCTAAGTGTAGCGAAACCAGTTCAAAGGTATTAAGCAAGGAGTGGCAGCGTGATGAGGTTGGTTTCAAGTAGAGACCAGAAGAGCACTGGGAGAGCAGCTAGTCCAGGTGAGTTGTGATGGACAGTAGAGGTTGGAAAATGTGGATCAGGAGATCAAGGTGCTAATAATGGGACTCACTGATGGATTGGGTGGTGGGACTGTGGGCAGGGAAGGGGAAAAGGGAGAAATCATAGGGGAGCCACCTGTACCCTAGAACCTGGTGGTACATACAGAGTGGGATAGGCTTGGGGAGAAGGGAGTTGGCCCAGGAAGGATATTTTAGACTTAAAAAGTTCCAGCTCCTGACTGAGGATGCAGTTGCATAGATGAGTCTAGAGCTCAGAAGAAAGTCTGGGGCTAGGGACCCACGTGTGCAGAGCTTAACATACAATTGGTGTTTAAAGCCAGGAGATGAGTGAGTCCCTGAGGGAAAGGGCTTAGGGTTGTGTATGTCAGGCTTCGTGGTCTTAAGTGCTGAGTAAGCAGAGGCCTGTTGGTGACCTTGACAAGCCCTGCACTGTGACAGTTCCTAGACATGACCATCTTTACTTTGGCCACCCCCTCTTGGCCCAGCTTAGATTCCCCCCCCTCCCCGTCATGATGATAACAACTTTGTGAAAGAATCTCTGGGTGCAGCCCTGCTGCCCGCCTTCCCTCTGCCCCTGAGCAGTTGGATGGTGCTGGGGAAACACCTGGTGACTGGTTCCTCCATCAGTACGCATCTACAGGTGCATTTGACACTCTCAAGGGCTCCTACCAGGTTGTTCCTTCTCAGGAGATCAGCCACTGCCAATGGACATCCTGCGTCCTGCCTTGTAGAGAAAGAGAAGCCATTGGGCAGAGAGTTCTGCTTGTTCACCACACCTCCCTGCCACCTGCTGCTACACCTCTGTCCTCAGTTAAAACTGGTTTCCCAGCAGCCTCTGCACAAACTGCTTCCCACCAGTTAGCCCTCCTGGTGATGCCCTTTCCTTTCCCCCACGTTAGTTCACCTTTCCGGTAGTTTTTAGAGACAAGTCTGGGCTCTACCTGGAGAAAATCTGGGTCTTGGTCTCCTTTGGGTGAATGGAGGCAGATGGCTGTGAATCTGACGTGAGCCAGCTTCACTATGAGGACTTGTGAGAGTATTGGTGCCTCTGAGGGCCAGGTGTGGCACCTGGCACCCACTCCTTTGCATCTTTACCACTAAGCAGAATGCAGCATCTCTGGGCCTCACTTTCCTCTTCTGTAAAATGAGGACAGTGGTAGTGCCTGGCTCAGAGGAGTTCTAGGCGGCCCTCTGAGGTGTTGTGGGTTGAGCCTTGTGTCAGGCGACCCCTGCTGCACCTCAGGCTGGGCGTCCCTTCCCAGGCTGTTCAGCTGGTTGCTGCTGCGGGTCCTGAACTGCCTCTTCCTGAACGTCCAGCTCCACAAGGGCCAGATGAAGATGGTCCATAAGGCCGCCCAGGCGGTAAGGCCCAGCCCACACTGGGGTGAGATGCAGGGGCAGGGGCGAGGCGGAGCCCTGAAGTCCAGACCAGCCCCATCATGTGGTGGGAAAAATCCACTGCTTTCCAGCGACCTTCCCTTGTAGTCTCACGGTCCTGCTCCCAGGGGGCCGCTCCTAACGTCTTTTCATCATGGTCTTAACAACCATGACATCAGTGCATTCATTACCTTAAAAGTTTTGGAAATGTACTCAGGGGAGGAGCTCTTCCGCTGATTCCTCTCCCACTGAGGATCCTTGAATTTGCAGGTGATGGGGTTTGGCTTCCTGTGAAGTCAGGGTGGGAGTGGGTGGGCATTTCCCTCTGGTTCTCCCTGGAGCAGGGGTCTCCGCTGGTCTTCCTCTCTACTCACAAGTCGATCCTGGATGGAATCTTGCTGCCTTTTGTGCTGCTCTCCCAGGGCCTGGGTGTGCTCCGTGTGGCTTGGGACTCCCGTGCCTGCTCTCCTGCTCTCAGGTAAGAGCCATGTGTCCCCAGTCACATATGGGAGAAGTTCCAGGCTGGGGAAGGGTATTTGTGAGGAGGCATATGCTGACAGCAGCTCCCCAAAGGCCCCCTTCCAGGACCCTTGCTCCCAGCCATATGGCAGTCCATCCTGTGGGTCACTGATGGAGGGTCAGCTATGGGCTTCAGGGCCATGGCTGCCTCAGTACGTTCAGACAGGGCATAGGCTGGCTCTGGGTGAGACAGGCTCTCACTAGCCTCCAGCTTAGTCCCATCTCTGGAGCCCCTTCTATCATCAGCTCTTCTGTGCCCCACAGAGCCCTGCTGAGGAATCTTGGGGGGCTTTTCTTGCCCCCAGAGGCCAACCTCTCTCTAGACAGTTCCAAAGGGGTCCTTGCAAGGGCTGTGATCCATGCGGTAAGTGCCCCCATTGGTCATATGTAAGCCAGGCCAAGGGAATAGGGCTCTGTTTCTGCTCTTGCCCTGACACCTGCCTCCCCCTCCCTCCTTTCCCAGGCCATGGAGCAACTGCTGGTCAGTGGGCAGCCCTTGCTCATCTTCCTGGAGGAGCCCCCTGGAGCTCCAGGGCCACGGCTGTCAGCCCTAGGCCAGGCCTGGCTAGGACTAGTGGTGCAGGCAGTCCACGTGGGTACTGTCCCAGATGCTATGCTAGTGCCAGTGGCCATTACCTACGACCTGGTTCCAGATATATCCTGTGACATGCATCAAGTGAGACCCTCCTGCCCTTTGGGATTCCAAGTGGACACCATCTCCAGACAGGCATAATGTTGTGTCCCATGGCTGAGTCCCCCTTAGGGCTGGGGTCCAAGTAGGGTGTGAGGTGTATCGTTCTGTAGCAGGTTTCACAGCTGTTATATTATTATCTCATTTCATTCTTGAAAAACCCTCTTAGGGTTGTTTCATGGATGAGAAAATGGGAGCATGGAGAGGGCAAGGTCATGCCTGCATGAGGTTGGACTTGAGATAAAGTTACAGGCTGGGAGCAGAGGGCATCTCTGGAGAGCAGGATAGGGTAGGCAGCCCTGAGACCTGCCTGAGAGTAGTGTCCCCAGCAAGCCAGGTGCTCAGCCTTTCCTCCCCACAGGCCTCCAGCCCCCTGGGGCTGTGGAGGGGAGCTTTGGCTGTCCTGCAGAGACTGCGCAGCTCCTGGGGCTGCCTCCATAGGGTCTGTGTCCGGGTGCACCTTGCCCAGCCCTTCTCCCTGCAGGTATGTAGCTAACTGGGCAAGGATGAAAGTCTACTATGTCCTCTGGCACCCTGGCCCTCAAAGCCACTGAGGGAGAGCCTCTCCTGCCTCAGTGGTCTGTGAAGGTTTGTGGCTAGAGCAGGTCACCTGAGAGTCTTGTCCTGGCAGGAGTACACCATCAATGCCAGGAGCTGTTGGAGCGGCAGGCAGACCCTGGAGCACCTGCTGCAGCCCGTCGTGCTGGGCCAGTGGTAGGACAGGGGTGTGTGGGTTTCAGGGCCCCACAGGCAACCGTCCAGCTTTTGAAGTGGAACCCTCTCACCTCACTCACACAGGCATGTCAGCACCCCTGCCTCACATGCAGCATGGGGTCATGGATAATTCCAGATACTTGCCTATGGTCTGAGTGAGGAACATGGCCCACAGGCCTGGAAGGGGTGGGGGTTACAGGAGCCGTCGCCTGGGCTGCCCTGAGCGAACACCTTAGGTGAATGCTCTGGGCTTCCCAAACATGCCTGTTTTTAGATTTGGTCCCTTCATTTGGTTTGTGTGTCTGTCCAGCACTGTTGTCCCAGACACAGAGAAGGAACAGGAGTGGACCCCAACAACTGGTCCCCTCCTGGCCTTCAAGGAAGAGGACCAGCTCCTTGTCAGGCGACTGAGCCGGCACATCCTGCATGGTGAGGGGAACTGGGTGCCGGCCTTTGGGGAAGGTCCTACACAGTCCCTTCTCTCTGGGTTGACCAGTCATCAGGGACTCCTGTTTCAAATTCATGTCTGTACCTGACCCACTAACCCTTGGTGGCATACTTGGGACACGTGAAGAAGAATGGGCCCTGCCCCTGCCCAAGGTGCAGGGTAGCTGGGCAGTAGCTGAGTGCACACAGGCTGCCACCTGCACTAAGCATGTGCAGCACAAAGGCACATGCCCAGCTGTGGCCACTACATCAAGTCCTACCAGCCTGCCTTGGACTCATAGTGTCCCCTTACCTTATAGCCTTTAGCTACAAATGGTAAGGACAGCTGGATGGAGTGGTGCATGTAAGGGGCTTACCAGTGCCTACAGAGTCACACACTTGCAGAGGTCCCTTGTTACCCCCACCCCCACCAGGCCTTACAGACCCAGGCAGGCCCCGAGCCCAAGGCCTGGCTTTGCATATGTGTGACCAGGGCCAGTTCTCCAGTCCTGCTCCCCTGCTGGGGTGGAGCTGTGTTGTGTGGCTGGGAAGACTTGCCAGGTGACGGGGAGATCAGGCCCCTGACCAGCACCTGCCTCTGTCCCCAGCCAGTGTGGCCAGCTCGGCAGTGATGAGCACAGCCATCATGGCGACACTGCTGCTGTTCAAGCACCAGAAGGTAGGAGCTGGGTGGTGAGGCCTGGTGGCCAGCTCTCCTGCTCAGCTCTGTTGTGTTCCATAGGGTGTGGTCCTGTCACAACTCCTGGGGGAGTTCTCCTGGCTGACAGAGGAGACGCTGCTGCGTGGCTTTGACGTGGGCTTCTCAGGGCAGCTGCGGTGCTTGGTGCAACACACACTGAGCCTGCTTCGGGCACACGTGATCCTGCTGCGCATCCACCGCGGGGACTTGGTGGTGATGCCACGGCCTGGCCCAGGCCTCACGTACCTGGCTCGCCTGAGTGCAGAGCTGCTGCCTGCCTTTCTGAGCGAGGCTGTGGGTGGTGAGACTTAAGGGTGCGAGTGGGTAGGGTGTGAGTACAGGGAGAGGGGACCTGCCCATTCACTCTCCCCTGCTTCCACCAGCCTGTGCTGTGCGTGGGCTGCTGGCAGGCAGAGTGCCACCTGAGGGGCCCTGGGAACTTCAGGGTATAGAGCTGCTAAGCCAGAGCGAACTCCACCGCCAGATCCTGCTGCTGCTGCACCTGTTGCCGCAGGACCTGTTGCTGCTGCAGGTCAGACCCGCCCACAGGGTCCTGGGCCCCTCCTGGTTTGTTGGAGGTGGCCCAGCCCTATCCTGCACTCTCCTGTGGTAGTAGTAGTTGTGGCCTTGCCCTACCTCTGGGTAGGCCCCTGGCTTTCCTGGGTTCACACAGGTGTCCGTCTCTCCTCAGCCCTGCCAGTCTTCCTACTGTTACTGTCAGGAAGTGCTGGACCGGCTCATTCAGTGTGGGCTCCTGGTCGCTGAGGAGGTAGGTGTGGCAGCTGGAGGCAGAGTCCCTGTGTGGGGCCTAGCTTGCTCCTGCCTCTCCAAGTACCAGTTGCCCCAGACTCCTCTGTGCTGTGTGCTGTGGGAGTGGGCTGCCCAATGGCCCAGAGCACAAGGGAGCCTGACTCCACTGCAGCTGCCCTGGGTCCACGAGTGTCATGACAGAACATGTGTGTACTGTTGGGGTCCCCTTCACACCTCCTGCCCTGGCCTGTGCGTGCTTTGGGGCTCCCTCCCTGGCCAGCCTGTCAGGGACTAATGGCTCTCATGGCTTCCAGACCCCAGGCTCTCGGCCAGCCTGTGACACGGGGCGTCAGCGTTTGAGTGCAAAGCTGCTGTGGAAACCGAGTGGGGACTTTACTGACAGTGACAGTGATGACTTTGAGGAGGCAGAGGGCCGGTACTTCAGGGTGTGTTGGGAGAAGTCACTCCAGGAGGGAGGCAGCAGGGGGCACGGGGAGCTCCCCTCACCCTGGGCTCTTCCCCTTCAGCTCAGCCAGCAGTCACGCTGCCCCGACTTCTTCCTTTTCCTCTGCCGCCTGCTCAGTCCACTGCTCAAGGCCTTTGCACAGGCTGCCGTCTTCCTCCGCCAGGGACAACTGCCAGATACCGGTAAGGCTCCCCCTGTGCTTGCCATGCTCAGGGCAGGTTTCTGCCCATGCAGGACTTGGATCTAGGTCTTCCTTCTGCAGAGGCAGGCTATACAGAGCAGTTGTTCCAGTTCTTTCAGGTCACGGCCCAGGAAGAGGGAATCTTTGGTGAGTCCAAGCAGCCAGTGCAGGTTCCTCTAGTGGGGTGGATTAGCTGGTGGCTGCTGCCCCCTGCTGGCAGTGGCAGCCCAACTCCAAGAACTGACTACAGAGAGGGCCTTAGCTCCTGTTGTTTGGAGGGCCCCTCAGTCCAATCGAAGCCCTATCCCTGGGCTATTCCCTCTTTAAACTAGGAAAACTGTGTCCTGTGGCTCCCCCTGAGCCTTCACTTCTCCTCTCTCTAGAGTATGTGGACCCAAACCTCGCCATCAGTGCTGTCTGGACCTTCAGAGACCTGGGGGTGAGAGGGCCAGTGTCACCATCCCCCTGCTTTCAACCTCTGATAGAACTGCTCAAGGAAACCAGCTGTATCCCCCACCTGACAGGGCTGGCCCTGATGACACCGTAGACACTGGGATTTACCTAGGAATAGACATGATGAAGGATGAGGCAGTTTTCTTATCCAGCTTGGTATCCTAAATACTGGCTTCCCCTACTCCCAGGTGGGGTGCTGAGGGCAGTTGGAGAGACAGAGGCAGTGTTTATACCCAGACAGAGGCCTGAGGGGCCAGAGGTCTCACTGCAGATTTCTGAGGACCAGGTGTGGCTGTTGGCTCTGTGAGCACAGTCCTGTGTGGGAGTACTCACAGTTCCATCTCATGGCCTAGGTGCTGCAGCAGACACCCAGCCCTGCAGGCCCCCAGCTTCACCTGTCCCCTACATTTGCCAGCCGGGACAATCAGGACAAGTTGGAGCAATTCATCCGACAATTCATCTGCAGTTAGAGCCATGAGGCAGAGCCTGATCTCAAAGTGCCTCAACCCAGCTGTGTCCTCGAGACAGAAGACAGGAGGCTGTAGACCCCTGGCTGGACTAAGAAAAACTGTGGTTTGACAGTGTCTTGGCTTCTCTATCATTTGGTGTAATAAACAAGGGGAATGGACGAGTCCTCATTCTCCAAATCCCAGAGTATCCTTTCGGTATTGTGTTTTTATGTCCTTCTTCCCCAGTTCTGTGAAAATTCCCATCTTGCCCTCATAAAAGCCCGAAAAGAAGACAAAACAACAGAAGCTAAGCTAAGTTTCAACTTGAATTTATTGTGGAGCTCCACCTTCCTTCCTCCTACCTAGAGGAGCAGTATTGGGCCAAGTGGCACAGCAGAGGCTCCACCTTAGCTGGAGCTCAAGGGAGGAAGCTGTCACACCACCTTGTTGATGATGCTGCCAAGTTCTTCAATCTCACACTGGACTTCGTCACCCTTCTGCAACAGCAGGCCACCAAGGTTTCAGCTCTGGCACATGCACCTACACAGCCTGCAGTCCTCAAGTCTGTGCCAACCCTGTGCAGCCTTCTCAGTCCTTGCCCCCTTTCTTCCTTTTAGCTAACTCACCTTGAGAAAGACAGGTGGCTTCCTGAACACACCAACACCTGGGGGGGTCCCGGTAAGGATGACATCCCCTGGGTAAAGAGTGACAAACCTAGGGCAAAAGCAAAACGGCCAGGTGAGACAGGAGCATTGGAGGGCTCAACTAAGCCTCCAAGTGTGTGGATGGGAGGCCCACCCACTTACTGGGAGACCCAGGCTATCAGCTCCTCTGTCTTGAACACCATCTGGCTGGTGTTGCTGCTCTGGACCACCTCCCCATTCACGCGGCAGCAGATCTTTAAGTTGTGGGGATCTGAAATGAAAACACCATGAGGTCACTCGCTCCCACATTCAAAAAGATGAAACTGTACAGAGGCTTCAACCTGCCAGGTGAACGGCCCTGTGTGCCTAGCTTGGACTGTACCCTGAGACTTCCTGTGCAGAAATGGCTCCCTGCATCCCCATCACTCCAGGCACCAAGCAGGAGGCACTTGGGTGAGTGAAGGGGTGGGGGAGAAAAGCAGCTGGGTTTTCTTTTTTTTTTTTTTGCCTTAAATGGACATCTGTCCACAGCAGAGGCTGACAACTGTAGCTATAAAAATGACTCAGCATCTACAGAACAGCAGGGTGATGGCTCAAGCAGGGACAGTAAAGCCCTGTGTTGCTGTCACCTGATGCTGGCTGGCAGTGGCTTACTCCACCTGATTAGCACACACCTGTATTTTTCTTGGTGGCTCTGTGTGCTGCATCCCCTCCGCCCTCCACAGGCAGAGCAGCTGGAACACAATTGAGCTTTACCGGGGATTCTGCACTAGTGCTGGCAGGCTCTGCTGCCCTGGGAGTGGCTCACGCACGTGGCCATGCCACCTGCTGGCACTGCTCTGTGTACACAGTGGCTGGCCGAGGTCCAGTTGGTGTTCCTACCTCTCCTTCTCTATTGTGAAAGTGAACAGGATTTTTTTGGTACCAGGACTGAACCCAAGGTTGCCTAACCACTGAGCCACATCCCCAGACCTTTTTTTGATTTTATTTTGAGACAGGGTCTCACAGAGTCCTTAGGGCCTTGCTAAGTTGCTAAGTTTGGTCTTAAACTTCCAATCCTTGTGCCTTGGCCTCCTGAGTCACTGGAATTATAGATGTGCACCACCATGCCTAGCTGAACAGCCTTTACCACAGTGATTTTCCATACGGAAGGGCCAGCTTTGCTTCTAGTCCAGACAGGGGCAGCTGGAGGAAGCCTGGCCCACTATTGCTGCAGGGCTACTCTTTGTGATTCACTTTATGAATGTAGTTTTGCAAGCACTACAGTGTGCTCCCTCTGGGGGCTCAGAAGGACGCCCATGGGGACCTCGGCTGAAACTGTGCACTTGCCCTCTGTAGCGGCCATGGAAGTAGGCTCGCTTGTGGCTGCACCTGCACTCCTCCAAAGAGTGCTGCTTTCTCCTGATGCCAAGTACAAAGACCAGGGACCCACCTGCTATACTGTCCTTGGTAACCAAGGCAGGACCCAAGGGGCAGAAGGTATCGAAGGTTTTTCCCAGCAGCCACTGCTTCCCATTGCGTCTCATTTGCCAGTCCCGAGCACTCACATCATGGGCCACAGTGAAGCCAGCCACGTGAGCCATGGCATCTGTGGCCTATGGAGGCAGGGGATTTGGCCAGATAGGAGGTTACATCATAGGTGACACCAACCCCCTAGAACAAAAAATCTCAAAACAGTCATCCCAAGTTAGGTGGTAGGTAAGGCAGTGTCAGCAAGCAAGTAGGTGCTGACCATGTCCCACTACTGGGGACAGCAGGCACCTTTGTTTTGGGGAGTGTGGTCAGTATTAGCAGGGACAGAAGCTGGGGCCTCTGCTCCAGTCGGGCCTGCGAGTCCCCTCTTCCACTTCACCTTGATATGTTTGCCTTTCTTTCCAATGACCACGGCCAGCTCCACCTCCCAGTCCACCTCCTGTAGAGTGGAAGAGAAGTAGTGAGGGGGATGGGAACCAGTACGATGGTTCTCTCTAGCTGCAGGGGCCCTGGGCCTCAGGCCCCAGGTCCCTAACAGTAGCCTTGGTTGCTAGTCCATATCTACAGTCCCCACAAACCAGAGCCAGGAAGTGCTGGGGAAGAACTGCCTTGTGGACCCACAGAGGCTTCGGCAGCGGAGGTAGCACTGAAGGCCATGGGCACAACTCCCCAGTGTAAAGGAAGAACAATGAGTGTCTGGAGGACTGAGCATAAAGTCACTCTTGATGCCTGTAGCAGAGGATACCAAGTAACAATAGCTGACAATAATGACCCTAGCTTGTTCTAAACGCTGTGATGTATTAACTCAATTTAATAAGAAAAAGGTCAGCATCTTGGGAAAAGTGCTTCAATAAGCACAAAAAGAAATACAGAGTTATAAAATAGGAACAAATGCTCCACATGGCCCAAATTAGCAAAATACAATTACAAAGTAGATAGGACTTAGCCTTCTGAATTGTCTGCTATTTCTCATGGTGATAACCAAAGCTGGTATCAGTATGCATGACTCCCAGGTGCTGTTCTTCAACACTAGTCCCCACTAAAAAGGACCAGTTCCTTGAGAATGTGGTTAATTCCAGGTGCAGGAAGTACAGAGGGGCCTGGAATGACAGCCAGAAAGCAAGGAAAAATGAGGGGCCTGGGAACCAACACAGTGGCCCTCTCTGCCCAGAGGAGGTTGTAAAATGAACATCTGAACCAGGGAGTACAACCAACTGGACAGAACTCAAGAACAGGAAGTCAAGGTGATGTTAAAGGCATGGAAGCAACTTTGCCTCTGCAGAGAAGAACATCAGCGAGTGAAGGCAGAAGGTGTCCAAGAACCATGTGCTACAATGAAGCAGGTAAGGACCCCAGGACTCCAGGAGGAGCCATTCGTCCCACACTGCCACCCACAGATCACTTAGGAACTACAACAAGGAAAACACATTTCACAGGGGAGAGAGCTAGTGAATGTCAAGGAAACCAAGAGGTCACACTGTAGGACCACCTCATGTGAGCCTCCTGACAGGAAGTACAGAATTCCTCTGTAGAATTTATAGAAGTGCTTAATGAGGAAAACACAGAACTAGAATGTGGGATGTACCTTGACAAAACCTGACTGGATTCTTGGAAAAGTGTCAAGAGTTGGGCACAGTGGCATATACCTGTAATTCCAGCAACTCAGGAGGCTGAGGCAGGAGAATTGCAAGTTCAAGGCAGCCTGGGTAACTTAACAAGACCCTCTCTCAAAATAAAAATGATGGGGGATGTGGCTCAGTGGTCAAGTGCCCCTGGGTTCAATTCCCAGTATAAAACAACAACAACAACAAAAAATCTAAAAGTTGGAAACAAGTCCAATAGTAGGTGACCAGTGAAGAAATTATGGCCCTGGTACAATAGAAAACGATGTGGTAACCTAAAATATGCCAAGGAGAATATTTAATAGTATTTATGAAAAACGTCCTTGGTGGAATCTTAAGTAGAACATGCATATATGTACAGTGTAAACACATTCAGGAGTAAAAGGACACTGGGGGGTAATACAGCCAAACACTAATAGAAAAAGCCCTGGGCAGTGGGAATATGCCGACTTAATTTTTAATATTATCTATGTTTTAACAGTTTTCTAGTTTTAATTACTTTCATAATCAGGAAAAGATGTCATTTTTCCCCCTGAGGCCAGTATTATCTCCTGCAGATTCTGCCTAATGCATTATCAAGTAACAGAATTCCTGCAAGTTGAATGTACCCTTGTGACTGGCCCATCGACACAAAGGTGGTGGGGAGGCACAGACCTGGCTCTCTGGTGGGAGGACCACCGCATCATAGGGCCCCACGATGGAGCTGGCAAACTTGCTGAAGATGATGGGTTCCTTGGGCACAGGCACGTTCTGTTCTTTGCAGTGGTCCACATAATTCATGCCCACACATACCACCTTGTCTGGCCGTGTGACTGGGGCTAGGAAGGTCACCTCTGACCGTGGGAGGATGGGCAACTGGGTTGTCAGGGCTCTGTAGAGACCAAGCAGGAAGAGGCTGGTTGGGAACAGGTTTGCAATCCTTGGCTGCCCCATGACTGGAGGCAACAGGGCAGATGGCTGCTTTTTAAAATATATTTCCTAGCTCTATCAACCATCAGAGTAGGTGTCCTTCGAGAATACTTCGAGCACTGTATTCATACAGTGTTTGTTTCCTTTCTCCCATTAGGTAACTCATGTCCATGCTGGAGAATCCAAAAGGCACAAATGGGAATACGTGGCAAGGTCTCTTTGACCCCTTCCAGTCACATGATGTCCCTCCCTGGAGACACCCTCTATGTCCTGAGCAGTTCTTAAGAACAACTCACTGATGACCTTTCCTCTCATCCTTCTATACCCAAAATAGTGTACTGTATGCCCTTAAATATATACACACACACACACACACACACACAAATATATATATATATATATATATATATATATATATATATATATTTAAAAAATTTTTTTGAAGATCCCTCCA